TTATTTATTTATTTATTATGTATACAATATTCTTTCTGCGTGTATGCCTGAAGGCCAGAAGAGGGCACCAGACCTCATTTCAGATGGTTGTGAGCCACCATGTGGTTGCCGGGAATTGAACTCAGGACCTTTGGAAGAGCAGGCAATGCTCTTAACCGCTGAGCCATCTCTCCAGCCCCCCATTCATGACATTTCTGAGAATGATCTTGGACTCTTGATTATCTTTCCTCTGCCTCCTGAGTGGTGGGATTATGGGTACATACCACCAAGCCCAGTCTGTGCGAGGCTGGGGATGGAACCCAGGGCTCTGTGCACACTGTACCACCATGCTCAGTCTGTGTGATGCTGGGGATGGAACCCAGAGCTGCACACTGGATAGACAAGCATTTTATCAACCGAGCTACATCCTCAGATCCTAGTTTCTGAATTTTATCTTGATTATTCGTGCTCCTTTTAAGTCACTAAAAACCACCACAGTGATTATTGATAAGTCTGCTTTACTTTAGACTTAATTTCAGGAGTTTACTATTTTCTTTTGATTGGACCATATTTTCTTTACTCTTTGCATGCCTTATAACTTTCTCTTGAAATGCAGCCATTTGTAAAATGAGCCATTCCCTGCTGCGGGGATGAATTGTTCTGTTTACTTGTTTTCTCGGTAGCCTCTAGCCTTGCATCCAAACTATCACTCCTTTGAGACCCAAACCTAAGTGCTAGAGAGAGGGCTCAGGAGGTAAGAGCCCTTGCTGCTCTTGCACATGAGCCAGGTTTGATTTCCAGCACACACATGGCTCTGGCTGTTCTTGAATCCACTGTGTAGGCCCGCCTGTAATTCATAAAGATCCACCTGCTTCTACCTCCACAGTGCTGGGATTAAAGGCATGTATATACTGCCAACAGGCCGGGCATTTTGTTTTTGTTTTGAACAATGCTTGATGTATTGACATCTACTCTAGGATATTAAGATAACGTGTAAGATATGCATTATGGACCTACTCATCCTGGTATCAAGTAAGATGGGCATTATGATCCACTCATCCCGGCTAGCAAATAAGACAGGCATTTATGAACCTGTTCATTCTAGTATCAGCTAACAGGCATTTATGAACCTGCTCATTCCAGTATCAGCTAAGACAGGCATTTGTGAACCTACTCATCTTGGTATCTAGGAAAAACAGGCATTATGAATCTGTTCATCCCGGTATCAGCTAAGACAGACATTACGAATCTGTTCATCCCAGTTATCAACTAAGACAGGCATTACAAACCTGCTCATCCTGGTATTTAGTAAGATGATCATTGTGAGTCCAAGCCCAGTCATTGAGTAAGTAGCATCGGTGATAAAAACAAACCAGTGAACATAAAAAGATGTTGTACAAAGACAAGAGTTACAGACACGATTCTTGCCGTAGGCAGCAGCTTCTCAGCCCCACCCTATTGATGCCATGCCCCAGTGACACCAGGGAAGAATTTCCAATTGTTTTCTCCAAGGGGAAAATCTTCTATGTTTTCAGGGGAAGCTGTAAACAAAGGGGAAACATTTGGGAAGATGCCCACATTTCTCTGAATAAGCCCTCATTAATGTTCTTGCAAGAAAATAATGAAACGTATCAGGACACACACACGCACACACGCGTGCACGCGCACACACACACACACACACACACACACGCACGAATAAAAAAATCTCAATGCCTTTAAGATGCGTGAAGTCATTTTGTGCTGTGCTGACATGAATGTCACCTGCTAATTCTGTAGCTCAGCCTGGTTGTGGAGTGTATGAGCACCCTCTCGGTCCATGAGTCCCACAGTTAGTGCTTCTAGTAGTTTCCTTGGAAACGATGTTGCCAAACTCTACAAATCTACTGAGCAATATAACTGGCACGATTGTTAACTTTCATACCTTGAAAACCAGACTTAAGTAAGACAGCAATAAAGATGTCTTGGCTTTTAGTTTATGTATCTGGCTTCTAGTCGCTCCTTCCAATTAGTTGTGCTTTCTTGAAAAAAAAATCTGAATTTAACAGAAATCAATATATTTTTTTTCCTGCAAAACAACCAGTTATACATGTATTTTAAGTCCAAACTATAATGGCTCATGTCAATGATGTCCTGTTGACATTCACTACTCTGTAGGTTAGCCTAAAATTTAAGATCAAACATAAACTTAAAGGGTCAAGGAGAAATTTGTTTCTAAAGAATAGCAGCTCCCTCTCCCCCTTCTAGTTCTCAGCCTGGAGACGGATACCAATCTTTTGCTATGTGTTGTCATGTGACCAACCAACAAAATGATATTGCTGCGATGTTGAGGTTTTTCTTTGGGGGGGATGAATATATTGACTTATTAGTAGAAAAAAATAGGTAGTTTCTTTTTGCCCCAGCCTCAGCTCAAAAGTGACCTTTCTATCTCCCTCGAAATCTTGTTAGACTGTATTATGATCTCTGTTGCACTCCGTTAACATTAGCATCTCCACTAATATTAGGGACACGACATGGGTGCTCACTGCCCTCACTCCTATTCAGTACAGAACCAGAAGCCATGCCTAGAGCAGTAAGATAAAAGAAATCAATGAGAGAGATACAAACATGGAAGGAAGAAGCCAGCGTAGCCTTATTTGTAGATGACGTGATTATATATCTAAGGTAAACACTGGGAAGCTCCCAGACCTGAAGGACAAGTTGGGCAAAGTGGCAGGTTACAAAATCAACTTCTAAAACCCAGTCATCTTTTTATATACCAATGGCAAACATACCCAGAAAGTAATCAAGGAAACAACCCATTCGCAACAGCCTAAAAGATATGCCTTTGAAATTAACCCTAGGAAAAGATCCCCACAGCAAAAGCCTGAACAAAAATCACCAAGGAAAGAAGTTGAAAAAGACCTGGGAAACGGACAGGCCTCCTATGCTCACGGGCAGGTAGCAATGCTGCAAAAACGTCCATCCTACAAAGAGCAATCTACGAGTTCAACGCCATCCCAATCTCAGTTCTTTACAGTAATCAGACAAATCTGAAAATGCACAAAAGCTTCATTATCCTGTGAATAATAACTGCTGGAAGTATCAAAACATCTGATTGAGTTCTATCACAGAACTACAGCGATAAGAACAATATGATACCAGCACACAGACACACAGGTCTGTGGAAAGGACTAGAGGACCCGGACAGGAGTTCACACAATTACAGCCACCTGATTTGGCAAAGCAGTAACAAATACACACTGAAGAAAAGACAGCATCTTCAGACAATGGTGGTGGGGAAACTGGCTATCTACATGTAGAAGAATGGACCAGATCCTCATCTATTCTACACACAAATAAATTTCAAATAGATCAAAGATCTATGTGTTAGAACTGAGCTTCCGAAGCCACTAGAGGACAAAGGAGGGATTTTTTTTGGTTTTTCGAGACAGGGTTTTTCTGTGTAAGAGTCCTGTTGCTGTTCTGGAACTCACTCTGTAAACCAGGCTGGCTTTGAACTCACAGAGATTCGCCTGTGTCTGCCTTCTGAGCACTGGGATTAAAGGTGTACATCACCACCACCTGGCAAAAGCAAGCACAGGTCAGGTCTTGCTGGAAGGACAGCACAGGACATAGGGCTAATGGCGGACAAGTGTGAGCCACAGTCAGAACGCTGCTCGGGAAAATAAATAGCTAACGGAGTGAGGAGGTGGCCTATGGACAAAGAAGAGCCTCCCCAAACACATCTGACTACCGAAAGAGCTGAAAAGCTCAGCCACGGGAAAGCCAGCAACCTGTTCTGTCTGTGGAACTCGAATTCTCAAAAGAAAACACAGATGATTAATAAAATATAGGTAGAAAAGGCTGATCAGGGAGGAATGGGGAGGATACAGAAGAGAAGAGAAGGGTAATAAAATTTATAGATTTATGAAAACACATACGGAAGTCTATTTTATAAGCTTACTAAAAATACAATAAAAACCCATTTTAAGTAGCGATATCTTCCATGGGCTAGATAATGCTCCGAGGGTAATAAAATTTACAGATTTATGAAAACACATACGGAAGTCTATTTTATAAGCTTACTGAAAAGACAATAAAAACCCATTTTTAGTGGCGATATCTTCCATGGGCTAGATAATGCTCCGAGGGTAATAAAATTTACAGATTTATGAAAACATAAGGAAGTCTATTTTATAAGCTTACTGAAAATACAATAAAAATCCATTTTAAGTGGCGATATCTTCCATGGGCTAGATAATGCTCCTCCCAGAAGCCATGGTTATCAAAGAAATTTCAATGTCAGGTGTGGGACACTTCCCTGTAACTTGTTGACCAAGGAGACCCCAGCATTTCTACAAACAATACTGGCTATTTCCATTGCTCCTGGTTGCTCAGGAGAACTTGATGGTAAGACCAGATTCCTGAAAACAACCCATTCTAGTCACAGGGCATAGAGAAATCCATCTGGAGCTGAGCTGGAAGCTTCCTTCCATCAGCCAGCCTTCACAGTGTCTGAAGGGGCTTCGTGGTCTGCTGAGAAGAAAAGTGAACAGCAAGCTTACCCAACTGTGAAGTGTTGAAGCAACAGCAATGACCTACCAGGCAGGATGTGCTGTCTGGTGCAGTAGTGTTGACTACTCAGAAGCTGACCTTGTCTTAGTCAGGGTTTCTATTGCTGCAACGAAACACCATGACCAAAGCAACTTGGGGAGGAAAGGGTTTACTTGGTTTACACTTCCACATCACAGTTCATCGTTGAAGGAAGTCAGGATCTGACGCAGAGGCCATGGAGGGTCTGCTTCCTGACTTGCCCTGCTCCTACCTATCCCTTGCCATGGTTTGCTCATCTTGCTCCCTTACAGAACCCAGGACCACGAGCTCAGGAATGCACTACCCACAATGGGCTCGGCCCCTCCTATTCATCACTAATTAAGAAAATGCTCTACAGGTTTGCCTGCAGCCCGATTTTATGGAAGCAGTTTCTCAGTGGGTGTTCCCTCCTTTCAGATGACTCTAGCCTGTGTCAGTATGACACAACTGACCTTGTCAACGGGACACACAATACTTTCTAAGATACTCTTTCCTTTTTCGGTTCATCCCCAAGATCTTAGATTAATAAATACCACAAATATAAAACATATTACAAACTTAAAGTCCCACAGTCTTCAATTCAAACCCTTTAGAAGTTCAGTTTCGGGCTGGACTGACTGTTCTTCCAGAGGTCCTGAGTTCAATTCCTACCAACTACATGCTGGCTCATAACCATCTATAATGAGATCTGGTTCCCTCTTAGAGTGTGCAGGCAGAACACTGTATACATAATAAATAAATCTTAAACCTAAAATAAAAATAATAAATAAATAAATCTTAAAACAAAACAAAAAAAATGAAAAAAGTTCAGTCTCTGTAAAAATCCAAAGTCTCCTAAAATCTAAAATTTCTCTTAAAAATTCAAAGTCTCTTAACTGTGGGCTCCAATAAAATTAAAATAAGCTAAATACTGTCTTACTTCAAGAGGGAATAATGTGGGCACAGACACAATCTGAGCAAGACAAAACCAAACTCCAACGGCATAAATAATTCAATGTTCACTATTTGGAATTCACTCACCATCTTCTGGGCTCCTCCAAAGGGCTTGGGTCACTTCTCCACTCTGTCACACACACAGCTTGTCCTCTAGGCTGGGGCAGGCTCTATCCTCTGCTGCTGCTGTTCTGGGCTGCACTTTAGCCAACAGCCTCTCCTGGCCTCTCCTCATTGTGCCAGGCCTCAACTTCTCTGCAGGACCGGTTCACTGTTGGGGCTTCACCTGGCTTCTCCCAGCGCCAAGCCTCAGGTGTTCTCCAGGACCGCTTCATGTCTTCCAAACCAGTACCACCTGGGTGACGCTTACACTTCCAAGGTCAGCCGCTAACAGGAGGTACAACTTTGGCCACTTCTGGAACCCAGCTTCATGTGTGCTGACCCTGAGTAAACACATCCCAGGAGACTTCTTCACCTCAGTGATGCTGGCCTCTTCATAACCCCGGCTGACCAGAACCACAGATTCTTCACACAAATGGCCCAGCAGAGTCTTTGCTTCCCTCTGAAACGTCACAGGCCAGGCCTCCTTCGTCTGCCCTGCTCTCTCGTTCTCATCTTCCAAGCTCCTACCGGAAGTTCACCACGCACTCAACACTAATGTCTTTTCTAGCCCAAATGTTCAATAGTCCTCCCGCATTCCTTCCCAAATGAGCATGCTCAGTTCTATCACAGCAACACCCCACAATCCTGGGACCAAGCCGCGTCAGTCAGGGTCACTACTGCCGCTATGAAACACCGTGACCGAAAGCAGGCTGGGAACAAAGGGTTTACCTGACTTCCGCTTTCACGTCACTGTTCCGTACAGACGGAAGTCAGGACAGGAACTCAGAGACGGAGCTGATGCAGAAGCCACAGAGGGGCGCTGCTTACCAGCTTGCTCTCCTTAGCTGGCTCAGTCTGCTTTCTTATAGAACCCAGGACCACCAGCCCAGAGCTGGCACCGCCCACAATGGGCTGAGCCCTTCCGCATCAATCACTAATTAAGAAAATGCTCTACAGACTTGCTTACAACCCTATGTTATGGAGACATTTTCTCTGCTGAGATTCCCTCCTCTCGGATGACTCTAGCCTGTGTCAAGATGACCTAAAATTAGGCAGCACAGTAACCAACTGTTTTCTGATTGGATCTGAAGTCTGCTCCACATGAGGGAACTCATGCCTGATTCTGTAATCCTGGTTATGTCCCTGGCTGTGGAGGCCCCAGGCCCCAGGGGGAGCCTACTCTCTTTGCTCTGCTAAAAGGCGACATTGTCAAACTGCCTTTAAATACTACTGTTTCAGCTGGGTGGTGGAGGAGGCACTCATTGTCTCTGTCACATATTGCTCGCTTTGGAAGCTGCTCAATTGTACTTCCTGCCTGCTCAAGTAATATTATCTCCCTTCTCAGGCCTTCGATGGGGTTGAAGATTAGATAGTCATAGTTACTGTCCTCTTATGATCTAGCCAAATCATTTCCTATACAAGACTTAGACTCCATAGGATAAAATGTTTATTAAAACATTTAGCATATGTTCCTTGCTTAATATTGTTTATGCTGGTTGCAATTCTAATTATTCTTGATCTCTGTTCTTAGTGTATATAATTTTGTATTGGGGTTGAAACCCTCTTATTTAAACAAAAGGAGGAGGTGCTGTGGGAGCACACTCTGCTCCTTCAGCCAATAGCCTTTAAGATAACAGCCCATTTGGGTATGGTTTCTGGTACTGTAAAAAAACAGCTGTAAAGTCTGTGCCCACTCTTACTTCTGGCTCCTGCTTCCGGCTGCTGCACTCTATTCCTGTTCGCTCAGAAGACTGTTGTCTAGGACAGTGATCTGTAAGTTTTCCCCTTGAATAAATAACCCTTTTATTATCCATAATTCTGAACTGGTGTGCGATTGTTTTGTGACTTACGCCTTTATCTGGCACCCAATATGGAAGGCAGAGGCAGGTGGAAGCCTGAGTTCAAGGCCAACCTGATTTGCAGAGTATGTTTCCAGACAGCCAGGGCTACACAGATCATGTCTAGAAAACAAAACAAAACAACAAAACTAAAAAATCAAGCAAGCAAAAATCCCTCATGTTTCTACCCATACTTGAATGTCGTGCCCAGTCTTTCTCGGGGAAGCTTTTTATTGCAGTGGGTGGCAGTTATGCTGAAGTTCATTACTAACAAAAGTGTGAAGAGGAAGTGGTTGGGGCAGCTGGTCCTTGGTGAGCCAGATGCATCACCCCCTTCAAGAATAAGTGACAGGGGCAGCTCGGTCCTCGGTGGGTCAGCCGCATCAGTGCTTAGGGAACATCACAGAAGCTGGGAGGGCAGAAGAAATAGTGTACTAACTGAGGTTGGGGGTTGCGCCGGAAATGACATAAGCAGTGTACTCATGAATTCAGTGAAGCTATGGCTGTCTGCACAAGACTGGGCCCCTCAACATTCCTCATGGATGGAGGAGGGACCGGCGAGGCCCCACTCCTTCCACTTTAGCAGTGAGCTTTGGTGCAGAGCAGAGAGCGTCATTTTCTTTAGTGGTGTTTGCTCTACTAAGCAACCTCCTCCTTAGGCTCAAGCTAGTGATTCTTTCCCCTTAAAAACAGAGGTTTTTACATTCTTTTCAGTTCACACAAAAGTGTCTCAGATTCAGGGGCCTGGGCAATGTCACACGCGGCACTTGCCGGGCCAGCACGGACCCAGGACAATTAATCAAGCCGGTGCAGGAAGAGCTAGGAAGTTCAAACCCCAGAGAAGCCAGGTGTGGGTGTGTCTGCCTTTGCTTCTCAGTTCCATCGCCCCATTCCAGCCTCAGTTTCCCTCACTGGGCTGCTGCGAGGGTCAGGTCTGAGGGTTTAAGAGAAACAGACGCAGTCTCTTAAAATGCCTCAGTATTTTAAGGTCTTAGGCGCACCGCTTGGCACCATTCCCTACACTGGTCCCTTTTCCCAGCAGGGGTAGGGAAGACCAAAACACACACACACACACACACACACAAACACACACACACAAACCCTGGGAAGCAGGGCATGATGGGGGAAGAGGGAAAGCCAGTCACAAACGGTGCTGACCTGTCATGGCACCCTCGGGAAGCTGAAGCGTTAGGGTTGTGGTGAAGTCTAGGGCAGAGAGGGCTATAGAGTGAGGTTCAACTTCAAACAACAAAACAAAAACCATAGCAAAAGCACAGAAAGCCCCCGTGGATGAATCCCCATTGGCTTCCTGGTCCTGTGGTCAGGAAGTTACGCGCTGTCTCCCAGAACAAACACCGAGCTTCTCTGGCTCGCACCCTTTGTGTGGCCCATCTGCAAGGGCATGGAAGAGGCATTGAGCTTATTGGGACCCAACTCAGTATCACAGATGTGTCCCTAGATCCTTGGAGCCGCGATGCCTACCTGGCTGGCACACTTGGTGCCCACAGGGAAGCCGATGGAGCAGCGAATTCCAGGGTGTGATTCTTGGGGTCATAAAGACGCCGTCTGGTACCACAGGCTGTCATAGCAGACTGGCTGGAACATTCGCTGGTGTCTATCTGTAGTCCAATGACACACTTACTGGCCCTCATGGTGCCATCATGGAATTTCCGTTGACGTTTGACCTCGATCCACACCACTCTGCAGCCCCTGGGTTTTGGCTTTCCCTGAAGTGAAAGGAGAGGCTTGAGCCTGTGTCTTGTCCTTGTTGGACAGGTAACTCTTAAGAAACTCAGCGGGTCACACACAAATAGAACATGGGAGTGGGGGGGGGCGGGGCTTGGTGAGAAGGGCTTCATTAGGAGGAAGACAGGATGAAGGAGGGAAATAGTGGAGAAAATAGTTAAAGTTCATTATTTAAATATATGAAACAGTCAAACAAAACACAAGAGAAGCACCTATAAAACAAGCCAATCTCTTCATCGTTACGTTGAACTCATTAAAAAGAATGAAGTGTAGAAGGCCAGGGATGAACCTTCCTTTGTTGTTCAGTCTGCCACGTAATTAAGAATACGTGTCTAAGTAACCGGACTTCTATGGGTAAGAATGTCTTGCCCCAAAGAAGAACAGGTTAGCCTTTGCCAATATTTAAACTTATTTACTAGGGAACTTCTTAGGTCCATAGTAACTACAAGTCTATTTCTATGTATGTTTCCCTTTTAGAAACATTGGATGATCTTTCAGCCTGATGTGTGACCTACAGGAGAATGTCTTGCTTCCCTCAGTTCCTACAAGCAGGTGGTTTCAGTTCTGGAAAAGGAAGCTAGGACTTGGGAGATTAGGGGAGCTCCGTGACACTGAGCTAGACTCTCAGGTCTGGCAAGGCTAGCCTGTGTCACTGAGCTAGCTAGACCCTCGGGCCTAGCAGGCTAGGGAGACCTGTGTCACTGAGCTAGCTCCTCAGGCCTGGTTCTGGTAAATTTTCTTTTCTAGGATTTTGTCTCTTTTCTGTGAGGTATCAGATTCTGAACTTTAGCTTTTGGAAAGATCTTGAGTTAGTCCTTTCATACTGGGTCATGTCTATGCAGCCTGTCTTTTCCGTGATTGCCAATCTCAAGATTTCCCTCCCACAGGTTTACTTCTGCTTTTTTTGGGGGGGGGAGTAGAAAGGGGGAACAGGATCTCTCTACATATCCCTACCTGTTCTGGAACTTACTAAGAGACCAGGCTGGCCTTGAACTCACAAGGACCTGCCTGCCTCTGCCTTCCCCGTGCTGAGAATTCCAGAGCTACTGTTAGGATGTCGCCTGCACTCCACCAGCGCACACAATGCAGCCCGCAGCCCTTGAGTGGTTTGTCATGGGTTTGCTAACCGAAGCCTACAGTGGGCAATGAGCATCTGTCTTAAGGTAGGGGAGGGGTTGACAAAGTGTGCCTTGTTCCCACTCTGCGCACTGTAAAAAAAAAAAAAAAAAAAAAAAAAAACCAAAAAACTAAAAAAAACTCTGCTGCCAGTGAGAAGAGGGTGGCAGCTGACAGTCAGGAATTTTGTTTCTCCGAGTCCTATTGTCCTTGTCTGATGTCCCCTCGGACCTGGCTAGAATGCACAGAGGGCCACTGTACCACCTCAGGAGTGTTTTTAGACTACATGAGTCATGCCAGGCATTTCCAAGGCTCCCAGACTTCATCAGGTGGCCCAAGGGTGTGTGTCTAAGAGTAGACTCGAGTCTCCCAAAGAAAACGACAGCTCTCTTGAATAATGCCGGGAGAGACTAGTCTCCGCATGCTCTACGGGACACAGCCAAGTGCCTAATACCATTTCGTTCTTGCAGGTGTTTAATTATTGGCTTTAGACACAGTCCTCAGAGAGAAAAAGAAGAAAAAGAAAAGGCTAGTATAAAATCTTTCGAAATTATCCTCAGCCTCCTTGACATTTTCCAGACTGGCCTTGTTTCGCTTGTCTCTCTGAAATGCCTGTGAGTGCCGTGAGGCGTGGCTTTGGCACAGCTGTCTTTGTTTTTTCCTGACTTAGTCGTTCAGGCCAGAACGCTGCACTCTGGCTGTTTGAAATCCCTACTGAATTTGGAGAAATTGTGTCTTGGCATCTGGCCTATTTCCCTAGAACATGATGTGATGTTGTCAACAGGGGCCAGTCTTTCCACTTTGTCTGTCTCCTTCCCAGCACTTGAACATTCCGTGGTCAGTGAGACTAGAATGGAAAGGCACGCTTGCCATCCTTGCTGTGTTTCCTGCCTGACTACATGACTTTTATAATGTCACTTGTGAATAACTTGATCAGATTAGGGCGAATCACGGGGTTGGCCAATAGCAATCGGAAGGACTCTCCAGCGTCACTTGTTGCATGATTAGGAAATGCATCCGGATAGACCTGCCCAGTGCATGCTCAGGGCTGTCATTCCTCTTTGTCTCTGCTGTCTAATTCACGAGACAAGATGAGTGTGGACTGTTCGAGCAATGCCAGCTGCCCTGCCCACAGCATGGAGGACGAGCTGCCGCTGCAGATGGAGGGCCACGGGATCCTGAAGCTTGTTTTCACAGTGGTGTCGGCCCTGATGGTGGGCCTGGTCATGTTCTCCTTTGGATGCTCGGTGGAGATTCGGAAGCTGTGGTCACACTTCAGAAGACCCTGGGGCATTGCAGTGGGGCTGATTTGCCAGTTTGGGCTCATGCCTCTGACTGCGTATCTGCTAGCCCTCAGCTTCTCTCTGAAACCCTTCCAAGCTATTGCTGTCCTCATCCTGGGGTGCTGCCCTGGGGGCACCATCTCGAATGTTCTGACCTTCTGGGTTGATGGAGATATGGATCTCAGGTAAGACACGATAGGGAAGCTGGGCAGGGTGCCCCTGTCTATGCCTGCCAGTCAGGGACACCTTTGGGATGTCTGGGTGGTTCTGAGTGGGAAGAGACTTGGGCAGCCCTTCTCGGTTCCAAGCTTGCCCAGCTGCCATCAGTTTCTGCTTTCTTGGCAGCCTTTTCTACCCTGAGTCACGCAAGGGACTCGGTTCATATGCAGCAACGATATTCTCCTTCTATGCCCATTGGCATCTCTGACCGTAATTTCCCTGGACATCACCAATAACACCATACAGCTGATGATAGTGCTGGTTGTGGTAGCAAGATATCGTCAGGATGAAGCCCTCGTGGTTCTGGTCTTTTCATTTTGTCTCTTTTGGCCACATTGTTCTCAGTAGTGTCTCCAGAAAACCCTTCTTGTGAAGCCACATTTTAAACGAGTGCAGAGGACTCTGGGTGGTTGACAGACTGATTTAGGGAGCGGCGTGGAGCTCTGAGGATGACAACTCTCTTGTTTCCTTTCCTCCTTTGGGTTTAAGCCAGAGTCCATGTCTACATATGGGGCAGATAAACACTCCAGGGGAAATGAAGCTTTATCAATTACCCACATTGTAACGATGGTGAGCGAATCACACAATCTTGGAGTCAAACGTTTTGACGAGAAGTAGAAGAACATTTGAAGAAAGAATTGATGACTCAGTATTGGGGAAAATAGAGTTAAAAACAATAGTCTTTCTGGATTTTTTTTTTGCTTATATACACACATTTACATCCTGCCTAGGGAAAATGACCCATACAAATTTAAATCTTTGCATGTGTATGCCACTTAATTGAGGCTGACTCTATGATGAATGATTGAATGAGTGAATGAATGAATGAGTGAGTCAGAATTGACAGCTGAACTGGGAGCTGAGCTTAGTGAGTCGGCTTCAGGTCTCATTTCAAATTCTCTTGCATATACTGAATATTTAGTGTATTGAACAGATGTCGCCTCTACATTTTAATTACAGACAAGTAATTAACTTTATGGAAATGCCTATTCAGTTACCCACTAATGAGAGAGAGACTTAAAAATTCCTGATAGTTTAGTATCTCCACTCAGATGCCATGGCTTGAAGCTCAGTGAAGCTGTCCATTAGCGTTCACACGTCAGCGAAGAAGTCTGGGTCCTGGGGTTTCTGGAAAGAAAGGAAGCTGGTGTTTGTAGGGACCGGGAAGCCTGGGCTTCGTCTTATCTCCCAGCTTCTCAGAGTCACCTCGTCAGTGACCTTTTATTATTCTGGAAAAACGTTCAAGTTGAAGAAGTAGCTCGACAATAGAAGTGGAGCAGAGCTCACATCTGGTTCACATCAGTTTGTAACTTAGGCAGTTTTTTCCATGACATTTGGCAACACAACCACATGGTCTGTTTGGAGTCTGAGCCGAAGTCCTTAGCAGGGTTTTGAAACACTTCTGTTCTGGGAAAGGGAATATTTATTGCCAACATTCTTGGCTCATTGGCATTGTCATAGTAACACCAGAGGACAGAATGTGTGTGGAAGACAGAGTGCGTTTTGTTTCTTGTTACCAACCCTATCTTATTTATTTATTTATTTATTTATTTATTTATTTTTTGTTTTATGGAGATCAGGTCTCACATAGCCCAGGGTGGCTTTGAGTTCCTGATCCTTTCCACCTTCAGTTCCCTAGAGCTAGGATTACGGGCCATATGCCAGCACGTCTGGCACCAACTCTGTCTTCAGTCAGCTTTGTTGTTATTGTTGTTGTTGCTTTTGTGTAGCCCTGGTGGTGCAGGAACTTCCTTTGTAGGCCAGGGTGGTCTTGAACTCAAAGATGTGCCTGCCTCTGTCTCCCAAATGCTGGGATTAAAGGCACACGCCATCACTTCCAGATTAATCAACTTTTAAACTAAACTGAAAAAAAAAAGGGATTTATTTATTTTAATGTGTGAGTGTTTTGCTTGCATGTATGTCTATGTATCACATCATGTGCATGTCTGGGGCCAGATGAGGCCAGAAGAGGGCACTGGATCCCTTGGAACTGGAGTTATGGATGGCGTTGAGCTGCCATGTGGGTGCTGGGAATCAAACCCCGTGTCCTCTGGAAGAAGCCAGTGCTTTAACCACTGAGCCATCTCCCAGCCCTAGTGTCTACACGCTGATTGTAGCAACTTGTCTGAGAACACATCCACATACATGTGAGACAGAGCCTGGTACACAGTAGGTGCGTAGTAAATGTTACATGAGCCAGGTACACAGTAGGCGTGCAGTAAATGTTAGCTGTTTTCCTCCGTGGCAAGCATTTCACCACTGACTGCCCCACCCTGTGCTTTTCCTTTTTCTGAAGTTCGATTTTGAGCTTCACAGACACAAACAATACAGAATAAATTATAAAAATGAAATAATAGTTACTTACTTTGTATTTTTGAGATAGGGTCTTGCTGTGTTGCTCAGGCTGACCTCAATTTCAATGTATAGCCCAAGCTGGCTTCAAACTCAATATGTAGCCAAGGCTGATTCTCCCAGAGTAGGAATTTTAAAGTGGGCACTAAAAGTTAGATTTCAGAAGCTTATGCATCTAGCTCTAATAAATGCTTAAATCTCAGGAAATAGAATATTCTGTGTTGATGAGCGGAATAATGTCCGTATTTGGTACATTGCTTCACAACTGATTACCAACATAAAATCACATGGAGGAAAACACAGCGGCCAGTCAGTGATGGTCATTCTGGAGGAAATCGAAGTGTGCTTCATCCCACATCCTTATTTCACAGATAGGGAAACCGAGGCAAAGCTCTTAGAGATGATCCCAACTACAGTTCTGTTGCTTTCACTCCTCTTCATTCAGCCTGCGTGTGGTTTTCCACCCTCATACCTTAACCGGGTGTTTCGGACTTGAGCGGGTGTCCACACACTGGTTATGACAAGGCCAGGTATCTGGCATGGAGTCAAGTACACAGCAGGCCCTGCTTCTTCCCAGAACCCTGGGCTTCTCGCCTTAGTCTTCTGTTCCTCCCACTCTGCCCTCTCTTCCTTCTACCAGGCCCACCCTTTTGCTGAGCTGTTCACAACTCTGGCTCCCTGCCATTCTTCACTGCTGCTTCCTGGGGTCAGGCCCTAGTGAATTCTTCCATGGCCAACAGCTACACTCACAGTGTTCTCTCCACACTCAGGCTCTCTGTTATTGTTTCGTTGTAAATAGATAAAGCAGTTGTCAACTGTGAGCCTCTTTCTGTTCCTCTCTCTCTTTTGTACTGTGAACTTTGTTGATGGTATTCAGTACTTGAGAAAGTAGGGTTCCCTAAGCCCCTCCCCTTCTTTTGGGGTTCTGGGATGGAAACCAGGAGGGGAGATGCTCAATGTACTGGGGGCTGAATGAGACAGGGACTCCCCCACAGCTGAGGGCCTTTCTCTTTCTCTCATGTTCTTGCTGGAGTTGGGTTGCTCAGGGATTTTTAGTGCTTGGAGGCCGTGAGGACTATGAGGGGCATCACCCAGTCGCTGTTGCCAACTTCATTGTCATACCAGGAAGTTAGTCTGATGTCACGCTAGGAAACGAGTTTGACAAAAGTGGCTGTTGAGGATGATGCCCAAGTTGTCATGGAAGACTTTGGCCAGGGGGCATACTGACACCCAGCATGAACATGGGGATGTCATCTCAAGGGACAAGGATGATGAGTCTGGCTCTACCTTTCAAGGGGGACCCAGCCTTCTCCACAGTGGTAAAGACACTCATGGATTCCACAACATACTTGGCACCAGAATTACTCCATTTGATATTGGAAGGGTTCACTCCTGGAAGATGGAGATGGCCTTCTCATTGATGACAAGGTTTGTTTTCTTAGACTTGACTGTGCTGTGGACCTTACTGTGTGTGGAATCATACTGAAATACGTAGACTCTGTAGTTGAAGTCAACAGAAGGGTCACTGATGGTAACAATATCCACTTCCCCCTGGTAAAGGCAGCTCTGGTGTCCAGGAGCCTGATACGGTCAAATCATTTCCCTCTGGCCTTTACCATGTGTCTCTGTTGGGACTGGCACTACACAGGATGTGGCTCTCCCTGGAAAGAGAAGGCAGAGCACCTGGCCTCCATTCTTGGAACTGGGAACAATAACACTTCTATCATGGCATTAAGCCATGTGTTCGCAGTGCTTACTGAACTGGCCAGGTTACCGCGGCTCTCCAGGTGTATTCCCAGGAATGCCTTAGATGCAAGTGGCCTCCAGTCCAGATGAACTGTGCATTGTTCACTAAACACACCCTGGTTTGCCCATCTCCATCTGCCCATGTTCTTCAGATACCCTCTGGGTTAGCTGGCCTGATCTGTCTGCTCCAGTCATAGTATGAGTCTCCCTGATTGGTCTAGAAAGAAACTGCAACAGAGCACTGTGTCTGCTCAAGGTGCTGAGCACCACGGAGCCATTGATTTCTGTGCCCCTCAGCTTCCATATTTGTTTGTATTTGTTATGAGATAGGGTCACGTAGCCCAGGCTGACCGCAAATTCCATTCATAGCTAAAGATGTCTTTAAATTCCTAATCCTCCCACTTCTGCCTCCCAGTTGCTAGAATCACAGCCATGAGCCACTGTGCCTGGCTCTCGGTTCTCATTATACAATACACACAATACAATGTAGCATTTGAGCAATATTAAAGTGACATTAGGAACATTCACGTTGTACACCCATTCCCTTTATGTCACATGTTTGAGTCCCCGGATGTCTTTTATACGTGACTCATGGATCTGTCTTCTGGGTCTGGCTACTTAGCCGAGCCGAATACCCTCTGGGTCATCCTCCTCAGAGCGTTCGGTTACAATTCCTTTTTGTTTGCTGCTGAACGCTCACCACTGCACGTGTCCTGCTTTGCCGGCTCATCCTCAGGAGGCAATGAGTTGGTTCTCCCTTTCATTTCCTGTTTGTGACAAGATTTCACTGTGTAGTCCTGGATGACCTGGAACTCAGTGTGGTAATCAGATTGGCCTGGATCCTCCTGCCTCTACCATCCCGAGTGCTGGCATTACCTGTGTGTGCCACCTTTTGACTATTGTGAATGGTGTGGCGAGACACTGGTGTCCAACGGCACATCATTTGTGCCCTTGCTTTCAGCTTTCCAGCCTGGATGTGTAGTGGAGTAGATCAAAGTAGTTTAAGACCCATAGGAAAGGGACGAGGAAGGGACGATAAACCCAAGCCTCTTCTACCCCCACTTCCTTTTTCTTTATTATGAGATGGTCTGAGTATGTAGCTCTGACTGCCCTAAGCTCACTGTGTAGACCAGGCTGGCCTTGAGTTCATAAATACCCGCTTGCTTGCCTCTGCCTCCTGAGTGCCCTATCCAACTATCTGATGGCGCTGCCTGTCCATTGTCCCCATTCTGCCAAACATGTAACTTTTTAGTCACCCGTTGGAAGGTCTTATCACTGTGCAACTTGCTAGCCGTACCTGCCAGGTCTCTCAGGTCCTTGTATGCCCAGTGCCAGCCTGGTGGTGGCACGGCCTTGACAGATGGGAGTGAGAGACACGGTGGCAGTGTCTTTTGCCAGTGTTACAATAACTCCGCCCACCAGCGAACACTGTTTATTAATGCGATTTGGGACAGCTCATGCGACCTCTAGACACCTATGGAGGATGTGTGTGTCTATCCTAGTTACAGAGAGGATTCTGATCTTGTGTGGTGGTGTGTGTAACCTCTAGACACCTATGGAGGATGTGTGTGTCTATCCTAGTTACAGAGAGGATTCTGATCTTGTGTGGTGGTGTGTGTAACCTCTAGACACCTATGGAGGATGTGTGTGTCTATCCTAGTTACAGAGAGGATTCTGAACTTGAGTGGTGGTGTGTGTAACCTCTAGACACCTATGGAGGATGTGTGTGTCTATCCTAGTTACAGAGAGGATTCTGAACTTGAGTGGTGGTGTGTGTATAGCATGGCGGCCAACTTTGATCCATGAAGTTCTCTTGAGCTTCTTTCCATTTTTTTTATTTATATTTATTTTTATATTTATTTATTTTGAGACAGGTCTCATATAGCCCAGGCTGGCTTCAAACTTGAAACACGGCCAAGGGATGACCTTGAACTTCCATGCCGGCCTCCCCTCGCTCTTCTCCCTCTGAGTTCTGTGATTACAGGCATGCCTTCAGTTTGGAGAATTGGAGTTCTTGATTTTGGGGGCTTAGAATTGAAATAACATTTGAATAACTTAAGCCCCAATTGCAGAATGGTATTGGCTGTGCCATTTCCTTGCTGTAAGGGAGGTTCAGGATTTACCTGTTTGTCCAGTTTTGCTGGACCTGTCTCATTCTCTGCAATAGTTGCAGATGGCTCCATTCTTCCTGGTGCGAGTGGAATCTTGTTCTGTGGAGGTCAGATAATACCAGCGATTTTTCCACCATGTGAACAGTGGAGAGATTCAGCAAGCCACGTCCTCTGTTGATGCCGCAATGGAATTTCTTGGCAGGATCTGAAAGGCGTGGCTTCCCACTATGCATGGTGCAGTTTCTGTGCTTCTCCAGCATGGTCGGTATTGACAAGGAAACGGGAGGGCACCAGAACTTCTCTCGTCCTTCTGGAGCCACCATCAAATGGATCACAGATCAAAGTATTCTATGGAGGTTGGGCACAAGGTCAGCCTTGCTGACAGTTGGCTTTTTACAGCGTGGAATCTCAGCCTTTTGTTGCTGGAGCCAAAACCATATGGGGGTGGCGTGGAGCATTCCAGACTCCGCAGTTTAAGACTGAAGTGATGCAAGGTATAGTTCTTTCCAGGAGTTGGTAAGCAGAGAGCCAAGGAATACAGCATAGGTCAAGCATTTGGAAAACTTCTCTAGCTACCATCTCCATGGAAACAGGGTACCAACTCCATGGAAACAGGCTTGAGAGTTGTGTCAAAATGCTGAACTTCCTCTAGCTTAGCAGAAGACATCTTTATTTTGTTTTGGGTGTTTGGGATTAGCCTCAGAGACTACTCTGAACAGAATAAAATATTTTTAGGCTTTATGTAGAGTACAAACTATGCAGGATTTTTTTTAGAAGAAAAAAATTTGAAAAGGAATATCCACATGGAAATACTGACCCTGTATATTTCTTTTTCAAGACAGAGTTTCATTGTATATCCCTGGCTAACCTGGAACTCACTCTATAGACCAGGTTGGCTTCAAACTCACAGAGATCCACCTGCCTCTCCCTCCCAAGTGCTAGTATTAAAGGCATGTGCCACTATTGCCCAACAACCCTATATTTATGGAAACAATATAGTCAAGAAAGTCTGGAATTTGTTTAGGAAAAAACAAAATTACTTACCAGTGGGCTAGATTAGAGTTTCCCAAATATTTGTGAATAGACTTGGGCATTTAATCAGCATATGCTGAAGAAAGCACTTCGGCTTAGTGAGAAAGACAAAACAGCTTCATATCTTATAAAAGAGAAACTTAAAATGAGTTAAATAGATAAACACAGACTGTCAGGTACAAAGAAGAAAATGTAGGGGTGATGTCTGAAGGCCCCAGGAATGGAGGACATCTTTACAAGCATGAGAACTTAGAGGCTGTCTGTCGTTTTGTTTGTTTTCTGAGACAAGGTCTCACAATGTAGTATTGACTGGCCTGGAACTCACTCTGTAGACCAGGCTGGCCTCAAACGCCCAGAGATCCACCTGCCTCTGCCTCCTGAGTGCTGGGATTAAAGGGGTGTGCCACCACACCTGGCAAAAATACACAACAGCTTTAGCTACATAAATTTTCATTATGACGAATATCGTGAGCAAAGCCAAAGATGAAGAGTAAATTTATCGAAAAGGTTTGAATCATACATAATCCTATGTACCCTGATTGTCAAAGAGCTCCCTCTAGGTAAGAGGAAAAGGCAGACTGTGCAGGGAGGAGGGTGAGAAGAGGCTGGAAGTCTGAAAGAGGGTGGGCCTTGGAGAAGTAAGTACAATAATAAGCTTACAGTGAGATCTGCCTGCTCCCAGGATATGTCAAAGGGCTTGGCCACATCTCGGGCAGTCTGCTCTGCCAACGCAGGCTTTCTATCTAACAAATAGAACATTCGCTTTGGAGGTGCCCCACTACAGAAGGAGTCATTTCATGTCAATTCCTGTTTCTAGTCGGAAGGAGAATTTGTTTCCAGTCCACAATCTCTCACGGAATCCCTGTCTCAGATTCCATACCTTGCTTCATGTTCCGAGTCAGAAGGAGAATTTGTATCCAGTCCACAATCTCTCACGGAATCTTTGTCTCAGATTCTGTACCTTGCTTCATGCTTTCCAGTGTTCTCCATCAGGAGCCAGAGACCACAGGCTCTTCTGTGGGGAATCTCACACAAGTCTTCCGACGGCTTCTTAATGTTTAATAGTACTCAGCACCAAATAGGTGTTTAGTTACCTCTTTGGTATTTTAACTTGTCCTATTCAAGTCCCAAAGGGGGTTAAGAAATTCTGGCCTGCTTCCTTTAGACCCGAGAGCAGTGAGCTCTCCCACAATGCCATGTAATTACTAGGAAAGTGGGTCTTATAGTTACTTTGAAAAAGTGGGTTCTAGGTATGGTTTTTGGTAAAGATTACATTTTTAATTAAATTTTTTGAGATGGGGGGGGGTTCACAATGTAGACCAGACTGGCCTTGAACTCAGAGATCCACCTGCTTCTTTCTATCCATTCCCGGGATTAACGGCATGAACCACCACATCCGGCCCAACACCGCATACTAACGTAAGTAAGGACCAGCTCTCAGCTTCTGGCTCTCCCTCCTAACCACCTTCATTCCGCTTGTAGCATCAGCATGACGACCTGCTCCACAGTGGCCGCCCTGGGAATGATGCCCCTCTGCCTCTACCTCTACACCTGGTCCTGGGACCTAAAGCAGAATCTCACCATTCCATACCAGAGCATAGGTCTGTATGGGGTTTGTGTGATGGTTAGAAAGAGCAATGGCGATCATACCGGTAGCAGATAATTACAATTCCCTCCGTGTGGCTTAGCATCATCTAAACCAATCCTATTACTTTAAGGGTTAGTGAGGTTCGGGAACTTGATGAGGATCATGCAGCCTGGAACTGAAATCCTCACTCAGGACTCTGCCTCTAGCATCCAGACCCGCGTGCTCGTGTTTGGGGGTGGAGTGAGATACCCGAGGGAGAACGTTTGTGAGGAAGAGAGGTTTACCTGAGCTCACAATGTGTCTCACAGTGGCTAGGTGTCCACACACCGCGGTCCATGTTCTTATGAGCCCTGCTCTGTGACTGGGAATTAAAGAGACTTAAAGGGGCCACTCTCATTTCAAACATTATACTTCTGTTGTCTCAGAAATCCCCGTGGTTGGTTGTGAGGATTACAGTGGTCCAGGTGTGATGGAATTTATTAGTAGCACACACTCCTCAAAAATTGTCTTTCAAAGCTGTGAACTAATTGAAATAGAAATTTCTGGGAAAGTGTGGGGCATTAGGGTGAGAAGGGACACTGTCTGATAGATTTTCTTTCTTTTTAGGAATTACCCTCGGCTCTCTGATTGTTCCTGTGGCTTTCGGCGTCTTTGTGAATTATAGGTGGCCAAAGCAAGCGAAAGTCATTCTTAAGGTCAGTATCCCCCGCCCCGCTCCTACGCACAGCCCACCACCAGACACAGAGACGAAAGTCTGAACCAATGAGCTGTCCCGGTACAGTCGTTTCCCGCCCTTTGACCCGGAGCCTTGCCGCGTCACTCCCATTGGCCCACACACATTTGTGACACCATGGAAAACATGATGCTCTTAGTGACAGAAACACTCAGGCCTGAGACGGCCAGGACCTGTCCCTTTCCTGGGCTTCCCACAGGCACCAGCAAGGTGAAGCTCCTCCCTGTGGCATGCACAATGGAGCCTCAGTGTGTGGGAACATGGATGTCTTCTTAGGACAGGCTGAAGGGCTGTCTTGCCGAAGCACTCCCAGGCACACACCACTGGAGTTGTAACTGGTATACACAAGCAAAGGCCACTGACCTCATCAGGTACCCGGTGTGAACGACATCATCCGGAAAGTGCTGAGGGGTGGCCAAGGAATGGTGGGAACCTAGAGATCCTTCCTTCCCTCGCTGTGCGGTGCTGCCGTTTGTCTTCCTCTTCAAAACTGAAATAGAATCTCGGCTGTATTTTAGATTTACAAAGAAATGAACATTTGGGGGTTAATTAGAAGTTCGGCAAAAAAATGTCTGTTTATTTCAGCTTGGAGTTTATGGTTTGGTTCAGTCTATGCTCACTCTGCCTGCAGGGGCTGCTTTCCCAGTAGGACAATGCGCATTGTTCCTCCAGTGAGAGCAAGAGAGGACAGTTGGGGGAGGCCTGTGTCATGGAGCCCTGGGCTGTACTCATGGGATACGGCCCCTTCCTTCCCACGCTCCTCACTGTCCCTTTAAAAGGAGAGCATTCCCGCCGGGAAATGTTTACAGAACAAGAGGATGGTGTAATCATGGAAACTTTCTTTCAAGTACTTTGTCATTAGTTATTTTTCCCAAAGGGGCATTAAGCGGCAGCAACAATTGAAAATACCCCAGTTTAGCCTTTCTGTGCGCTTGTGGTCTTGGAGTCAGTCATGGTGGTACATGCTTGCAATCCCAACACGTGGGGCGTGGAGGCAGGAGGATGGGAAGTTCAAAGTCATCTGTGCTACATAACAAGCAGAAGCCCAGCCTGGGCCACGTGAGACTCTATTGTCCTCTCCCCGCTAAACAAACCTTTTCAGCAATTGTATGGGATTTTTGTTAAAATATGTCAAACAATATGCATAAACTAGAGCCCACAGTTCATTCATTATTTTAGTCTTTTTAAGATTGTGAAGCAGCATCTCCCTGAGTAGCACAGGCTGTCCTACGGTCATAGCTCTGCTGCCTCAGCTTCACAAATAGGAGACGATACATTGTGTCAGGCCTATTGGCACAGCCTTTGAACTTGAGGCAGAACATCACTGAGGCACGAGTGTGTGATGGAGGAGAGCTGGTCACCTCCTAGAGCAAAGAGGAACACTGGTAAGAGCCTAGAACAAAACAATCCCAGGGACCTGCCCCTCCCCCAGGCACCTGCCCAGAAGGAACCTGTTCCCCAGGGATCTATTTAGCTAATCCTGTCTCCTTAAGTTTTCAGGACCTTTCAAAATAGTGTGAATAGGCTTTAATACATCGTTTTAGCTAGGGTTTCTATTGCTGTGAAGAGACACATGACCATGGCAACTCTATTAAAGGAAGGAGAACATTTAATTTTAGAGGTTAATCCATTATCGTCATGGCAGGAAGCATGGCCGTGTGCAGGCAGACATGGAGCTGAAGTTAGTTCTACGTCTTGGTGGCAGGCAGCAGGAGACTGTGTAGCACACTGGGCACAGCTTGAGTAAAAGAGACCTCAAAGCCCACCCCCACAGTGACCCACTTCCTCCAACAAGGCCACACCTCCTAATATGCCTCTATGGGCTAAACATTCAAACACATGAGTCTATGGGGGCCATTCTGACTCAAACCACCATACATAAGAACATGCAGGGGGCATTTCCTGTTCAAACCATAATAATTAGTTTCTGTTTTCTTTAGTACTCCAGGGGCTCCTTCAGTTCTGAATCATTTCAAGTCAAGATTGACAGGATTTTAACTAAGTCCTCTTCTACAGAGTCTGCTATCCTATGAAACTGATGAGAGCCTGCTAAGATCCAAATCGCTCTCAGTCTCCTGGGAATTAAACTCACCTGTTAGAAAGTTTTGGATTTATTGCCTTTTTCTTTCTTTCTTTCTTTCTTTCTTTCTTTCTTTCTTTCTTTCTTTCTTTCTTTTTTGAAAGAGAGGACACAGTGTGGTGGAATATTAATTTAAGATGTGTTACATTCATTAATGCTGTGGGATATTTGTTTAATGATGCAAAGACATGTTACATTTATTTGATATAATTAACCCAGAGTCAGGAGGCTGAGTCAGCAACTAGCTGACAGGAAGTGGTAGGGAGGAGCCATGTGTAGCTAGGGTTCTTCATCAGTCACCTCAACCGGTAAAGGTTATGATGGTGTGACGTCTAAAGACATCTAAGAAACCATTATCACAGCCACCGGTGCAGCAGAGTCCTTCCTAGACCAGAAGATCCACAAACAGTTGTTATCCTTAGCATCAACTTAGCTTTAATTGTCAGCTTAACACAGCTCTCTGTTACCTGAGAAGAAAGCCTCAATTGAGAAATTTCCTGGACCAGATTGGCTCTAGGGCATGTCTGAAGAATTTATCTTATTAATTGATGCAGGAGGGCCCAGACCACTGTGGGCGGCACCATCCCTAGGCAGATAGTCCTGGGCTCTGTGAGAAAGGGAGCTGAGAGAGGGAGCTTCAGGGATTCAGCCCCTAGAGGCTACGAATGCTCCCGCAGATGGCCTGCCCCCTACCTGCACACTGGCACCTGTGGACGGCCTTCCTGCCCCCTACCTGCACACTGGCACCTGCGGATGGCCTTCCTGCCCCCTACCTGCACACTGGCATCTGAGACTGAACCTTGTGGGTTAAGAAGAGAACACGTGGAAGTGGGAGGGAGCGGTGGTAGTGAGACAGGGGAAATGGAGGAGGAGGAAATGTGGGTGGATTGATTAAAGTCCATTGCATGCATGTATGAAATTCCCCAAAATAAAAATATGATTAGTTTAAATGTATTTTAAAGTCTTCAACACGTACCCATGAAAGATTATATATATATAATACATAAATAATGTATATTTAATATCATTTAAAAATATTTCTAAAAAAGAAAGAAAGCTAACTAAACAGTAGGCCAAGAATGCAGCATTTCTTTGTGATTCCTGCCTTGAGTTCTTGCCCCGACTTTGCTCAGTAGTGGACTGAGACCTGAAGACGTAAGGCAAATAACTGTTTTCTCCTCTTAGTTGTTTTTGGTCAGAATGTTTGATCCCAGTAAGAGAGAGGAAACTAGGAGGCACCAACGTTAGCTAGCCTGGGCTCCTTACATTATTTCTGTTGTCTGCTATTTAGTATTTACATGTACTATGCCTGAGTATCTTCTGTTTCCGATCAGAGACAACCCATCAGAAATCTTACTCTCAGTTGTATATCTCCTTCATCATAGCTACGCCCGGGAAGAGAAAGCATCTGCCTGTGTCTTATATGGGCTCCAGCATTCACTCCTGTTCACTGGGCACTGGGGAGCACACACCCATGCTTAAGGGAAGGAAGGTGACTTTAACAGAAAATTGGGTGTGACAGCCTCTGAGGTCTTCTAAAACGTCTAAAGCTTAAACTTTTACACTGGGCACGGCTTAGCAGAATAGAGCCTCAGGTGTGACTACCAAGCACTCACCCGTTGCTTTGTTGCAGGTCGGGGCCATTGCGAGTGGCATCCTCCTCCTGGTGGTGGCCGTCATTGGTGTGGTCCTGGTCAAGGGATGGAATAATATAGACATTACTCTTCTGCTCGTCAGCTTCATTTTTCCTTTGGTCGGCCACGTCACGGGCTTCCTGCTGGCACTCCTCACCCACCAGTCTTGGCAAAGGTATAGTTACCTGTCCTATAAGGTGTGCGTATGTGTGTGTGTGTGTGTGTGTGTGTGTGTGTGACTCAGAATGCCAGATCTGTGATACCAGGCACAACTTTACCTCTTTGATTCATGCCAGGCTCTGTAAGCTTTTCTGAAGCAGGTGCATCAAACATACACCATGGCAGGCTTTGCTGGTTGTGCCGGGAAACAGGAAAAGTTTCGCTTTGCTTGTGGCCAGGAAGCTTATAATTCTTGATGTAGACAAAAGCCACAAGGATGGGGTTTGTCTGGTCAGGGTTACTATTGTACCAATGAAACACCTTCACCAAAAGCCACCCAGGGCAGAAAGAGTTTATTCAGCTTACACTTCTACATTGTAGTCTCACTGAAAGAAGTCAGAGCAGGACAGGGAGGTGGAGGCAGGAGCTGGGGCAGAGGCCAGGAAGGGGAGCTGCTTACTGGCTTGCTTCCCATGGCTTGTTCAGCCTGCTTGCTAACAGAACCCAGAACCACTTGCTCAGATGATCTCTCCAGAGGAAGCCGGGCCCTCCGTCATCAATCTCTAATTAAGAAACTGCCCTACAGCCAGATCTTATGGAGGCATTTTCTCAATCGAGGTTCCCGCCCTTCAGACAGCTTTAGCATGTGTCAAGTTGACGTAGACTAGTCAGCACAGGTTCTAGTTTATAGACTTCAGGTTAGGGCTTTAGTATAGCTTGCTGATGTCTGAACAGTTCAAGTCCAGCCAGGACTGAGTCGAAAGACCCTGTCTCAGTTACGGAGCCGAACAGGGTGATGTGTGAATCCCATGGATCAGAAGCAGGAGTGAACTTGTTTCGTTCAACACAGAGATCATAGCAGGGCACGAGTAAATATTAAGAGATTAAATCATTGTTCAGCATACCAGATTTTAAAAGAATTACTAGTTATTAATAGTATGTTTAGGAATTTGTCTGAAATATTATCATTTGGATTGGAGTATACATTTATAAATATTGTAAAAATTTTTTAAATGATAATACTCCATGTTGGCACGCATGTCATGGATGAACGCGGTGATTTAATAGTGAGGGGGAATGGTGACAGAAAGTGGCACAGGCTTTCTGTACACAGTGTTCTGTCTGCATGTATGCCTGCAGGCCAGAAGAGGGTGTCAGATCTCACTAAAGATGGTGGTGAGCCACCATGTGGTTGCTGGGAATTGAACTCAGGACCTCTGGAAGAACAACCAGTGTTCATAACCTCTGAGCCATCTCTCCAGGGGAATAAGCTTTCTGAAAGGCAACTGCTGCACTAGCAGCCTCGTGTGTGCTTATGGATATTAACCCAGTACTTTTACTCTGGTTGAGAATAGGGTCTTGCTATGTAGACCTGGCTGATCTTGAACTCTGCATTTTCTGGTCTCAGCGTCTTGAGTGATGAGATTAAAGGTGTGCATCACCACAATCAGCGGGAATCTGTTCTAGAGTTAGCTCTATCAGATATACACATGAATATTGATATAATAAGATGTTAATTGCTGTACCCTTTCTATAGGTAAAAATGGAAGCAATTTAAATATCTAACAATAGGGTAATGTTTATTTATGCAGTGTGCATGTGATAGGCATCAATCACAATGCTCCAGGGTTAAACCTAAGTTTAAAATTTTGATTTCTACTTTGTTGGGAAAAAGGCAAAAAGAATATGGAAAAATACTGGAAGAAAAGGCAGTTTAGAGCAGGGAAGTTAAGGGTGATTTCAGTTCTCCTGGGAATATTTCCTCTTTTTCAGTAAGTGGATTAAGTCAGGAGAGCAATTACAGGAAAGTGGCTGGATTCGAGCGGCTGGGTGGGGAAGGCTCAGGTTGGTCTTAAGCTGCTCCCACTCCTCCAGGGAACACTGCTGAGCCCTGCACACGCACTGGGTGAGGCCCCACCTTGTCAAACCCCGCTTTCTTCTTGTTGCAACCTGACAGCAGGGAGCTATGATTATCCCACCGATGAGCAAGCTCTTCAGAGAAGATGAGGAATGTAATCGAGTTCCTATAGCCAGTAAGTACAGTTGGGATTCGAACCCGGGTTTGCTCCCAAGGTCAATCGTTAGGAGCATAGACTACTGAGTGATGGAGACCTGCAGCTGAATCTGAAGACAGATGAAGCATTCTTACGGCCATCTGTCGTCAGCTCTCTAGTCTTCCTCGTCTCCCCTGGCCTGACAAAGATGAGGCCAGAGATAACTGCATTTGCACTGTGAACAGTCTGGTCAAGGTGAGTTGCAGCTTTTGAGTTTCATGACGTCGAGCTAGGAAGTTTAAGGGAAGTGCGCTTTGCATGAAGGTAGGAGCAATACAGTGTGCCACAGAACTCGCCACTAAAAAATATTCCTGCCCCATGTCACACCCTTGCTGCGTCTACCTGGAGTCCCGGCTCCACCGAAGTACTCTTAACCTTCCCCTCATATACGAAGGCTGCAAGATCCTCACAAGCTGGAGACAAAAGTAACGGCTCAATCCACCCTCCAAGTTTGCTTCCTGCCATTGCTTCCTTTTTCTCTCACTCTTCATTTTCAAGTAAGGCTTATCTCATTTTCCATGATCAGAAAACCAACAAATGTAAAAAGGTAGGAAATGAGAGAACGTTATCATTGCATCTTTCACCGAAAGCAACCTTTCCCAACACTCATTTTTCATCTAGAGCTTTGGCATGCTTTTTTAGTTTGTTCAGTTTCACACCTCTGACTCAGTTTCTCATTCCCTTCTCCTCCAGTCCTCCTCTGCATGCTGACTGGCTTGTGGTACATGGGGCTTCCTGAAGAAACCATACTCACACTTGGGTCTGCAGCTTTCCTTGCTGCCACTCCCCTGAAACTCATCACCTCTTCAGGTTCTGTGGCTTCACCACTTTAAAGCTTTCTGGAGCCACTGCTGCTACGTTGCTGAGTTTCACTGCATCTCCTGGTCATTGTTCCCTGAGTTTCTACAGCATTTCCTGGTCATTGTTCCCTGAGTTTCTACAGCATCTCCTGGTCTTTGTTCCCTGAGTTTCTACAGCATCTCCTGGTCATTGTTCCCTGAGTTTCTACAGCATCTCCTGGTCACTGTTCCCTGAGTTTCTACAGCATCTCCTGCCCCTGGTCATTGTTCCCTGAGTTTCTACAGCATCTCCTGGTCATTGTTCCCTGAGTTTCTACAGCATTTCCTGGTCATTGTTCCCTGAGTTTCTACAGCATCTCCTGGTCTTTGTTCCCTGAGTTTCTACAGCATCTCCTGGTCATTGTTCCCTGAGTTTCTACAGCATCTCCTGGTCACTGTTCCCTGAGTTTCTACAGCATCTCCTGGCCCTGGTCATTGTTCCCTGAGTTTCTACAGCATCTCCTGGCCCTGGTCATTGTTCCCTGAGTTTCTACAGCATCTCCTGGTCATTGTTCCCTGAGTTCTACAGCATCCTCTGGTCATTGTTCTCTGAGTTTGTACAGCATCTCCTGGCCCTGGTCACATTGTTCCCTGCGTTTCTACAGCATCTCCTGGTCATTGTTCCCTGAGGCATCTCCTGGGTCATTGTTCCTCGAGTTTCTACAGCATCCCCTGGCCCTGGTCATTGTTCCCTGAGTTTCACTGCATCTCCTGGTCATTGTTCCCTGAGTTCTATAGCATTTCCTGGGCCTGGTCATTGTTGCAAATTGTTCCTGCATAATTTCTTGTACTTCTACTCTGATTCCTGGGCCAGGGTTTTTGAGGTTCTACTCCACTGGGCATCCTTGCCATATACAGAAGAGGATCCCAGTAATAACTGTCCATGAATATATTCTTTTAGTTGCCTGAGCCCATAGCTTATACTTGTCATTGCTCAAAGGGAAAAGGGCAGGTTTTTTTGTTTGTTTTGTTTTGCTTTTTTGAGACATGGTTTCTCTGTGTAACAGCCCTGGCTGTGGTTCCTTTTGTGGGTTCACAGCTCTTGAATCTGTTCACTGACAGGTGCAGGACGATTTCCATAGAGACCGGAGCACAGAACATCCAGCTGTGCATTGCCATGCTGCAGCTGTCCTTCGCTGCCGAGTACCTGGCCCAGCTGTTTAACTTTGCCTTGGCCTACGGACTCTTCCAAGTGCTGCTGGGGCTCCTCACTGTTGCAGGTGGATGATTTCCCTCCCCACATCGGCCGCCAACTTATTCACATCCTCAAAGCCAGCTCTGCACGTCCTGCTCTTGTGATCTAATTTTAGCCTGACACCTTTGGGGATTAGGAAGTATAAAGCCAGGCTACTTTGATGCAGTGGGTGTTTCCCAGGAAATATTTAAGAAGCCATTTGAGTGAGATCTTACAACGGCGTTGTATCAAACCAGCCCCCTAGCTTTTATGTCCTGTCTCCCTCAGAGCCTTGAGTTTTCCCAAATGCTCAGCTACTTCTGGGCTCAGTGGCTCGAAGGACTTTTCAGATATGAACTACCCATGTATGCCAGTGTAGACACAGTGGGATTTTATGCACACATGTACCTACACATGCTATTCTCCGACCTGCTCAGCCAAATATGCATTACTTTGGGGGTAAGTCTTTATGCACTGAAGGTAAATTGCAAGGTGTGAGTACACATACATGTCTTTATTTTGCTCTTGGTCCCTGGAATAGGCTCTAGTAAGGTTAGTGTTTACTGAGAAAATTGACTGTACACTTGCTGTTGCTCTGATGAAATGCCTCCCCACAAACAGATTATAAAAGAGAGATCTCAGGTTGGCTTACAGTGACATGGATGGAGGTGTGGGGGAGGGGGAGTGCCTGCCTAAGGATAAGGCAGGGCGGCAGGAGGCAGAAAGAGCACAGAGAGCAGAGCCAAGCTCTAAGGACCCTCAAGCTCTGTCCCCAGTGGGGCGAACTCCAGCAAGGCTCTGCTCTGTCTCCTAAGATTTTACAATACCCAGACTGGGGACCAAGCATTGAAATCCATGAGCCCTTGGGGCATGTTCTTTGCTAACCAGCACACATACTGGTTATTATATGCTATTGGCGTGATAACATTGATGTAAGGAACACGTGGGATCGGGGGGTTCCCATGGAAGACGGAAATGCTTCTATTAGAACAAACTACTGGTTCTGAAACCCAGAATTTTCGAGAAGCGTGTTGAGCTTCTGTTTAGCTCTATCCTAGCACTTGGGCATAGGGCCTGATGCTCAGTCAGCACCCCTAAGGGTTTGTTGGTTGACTGAGTGAATGAGCTCTGAGAGACCTGACAAATGAACCCCAGTTCTGGAGAGAAAGAACCATTCTGATCCCCAACCCTTCGGTTCCACAGCGTTCTTTTCTCACCCCTTCCCCCATGTTTTCACACATGCATCATGCTGACCAAGCAACTCTCCCGAAGTACCTTTGAGTATGCAGGCCCCCCCCCCCCCGCCCAACTAGGCTCTTTGCTAAAGGGGTTTTTAATACTCTGTTTCTCCACCCAGCATATCAGGCATACAAGAGGAGGCAGAAGAGCAAGCTCAGGAGGCAGCACCCTGGTTGCCCAGAGGTCAGCTATGAGAAGCCCAGAGAGACCAGTGTTTTCTTGGAGGAAGGTGATGAAGTCACTGTAACTCTGGAGCCACCGGGACCAGAGCAGCAGCATAGGGCTGCTGAGTAATCAGCCACATTCCTTCAGGGGAATAGGGCCAGCTTGGCCCTCCATCTTCCTTCATGGCCAGTAAAGACCATGTGATGTGTGAACATCGCTGGAGGGACTGTGAGAACAAGCAGTGAACGATTGACTTCTAGGTTCTTCCATCCCTGTCTGTCTCCTGTGGGACAGCGAGTGGTGGCTGGCAGTCAGCAGGCATCTCCGGGCGAAGCTGGCCTCCGCTGTGGATTTTAACCAAAGAGAGAGAACACCGGTGTAGCGGAGACTCACACTGCAGGATGGAGCCGGTCCAGATCCACTGATTTCTTGGCTGTGAGCAGGTGCTCTGGAGTGCTTAGGGAAGAGACACTCAGAGAAAAAAAGCTTCAAGGACATGAGTTTTAGGGGATTAAGCATCTTGTAATTTTGATACGTGTGTGATGCAAGCTTAGAGACACTTTAAAGGAAACATGTGAAGAATCTAAAAAGTGAGTATCTGGGTTAGTTCTTTCTCCAAAAAGGAACAGACATGTGCTGGGAACCTCCAAAACAGACACGTGGCACTTGCCCTGAATCTCCAAAACAACAGAGATTCGTGCGCAAACCTTGGGTATCCTGTGTGCAAAGTGGCCTAAAATGTCCAGTTTGTACTCTGTGTTCTGACATCGGCTGGTGATGATCTCAGAACATCTGTATACATCTGTCTGTGTTACCTACCTCATTCTTTAAAAAAGTGCTACGTCCAAGTGTTGTGTCATATAGGACAGTAATTTATTTAGCTCATCCGGATTAGCGGGTATTCAGATGCCTCCCCGTGTGGAGTGGCTGTGAGCTCCTGGCCCTCGTGCCCATGTCCTTGTAGGAACCTTCCTGCAGTCTGGGGGGCAGGCCTGCTGCTCCTCAAAAGGTTCGATTGCTCTGTCTTGGAAGGGCTCTGTTGTTTGGTCTCACGAGTTTAAGAAATGATTTTCCATTGCTTTGATTTGTGAAAACATCTCATTAAATTATGACATCAAAACATGAACTAGGGCTTTTTATACTCATTTCCTTCCTGTGTGTTTGACCAGCTTTTATCCCCGTGATATTTTTCTTTTGCCTTTTTTGAAGACAGAACTTCACATGGTGTCTGCCCAGGGTAGTGTTCAGCTTCCAAAAACCCTCCTGCCTCAGCCTCTTTTTTTTATTTAAACCACTGCTTGGCCCATTAGCTCTAGCTTCTTTTTTTTTAATTTTTATTTATTTATTAAAGATTTCTGACTCTTCCCTGCCACCACCTCAGCCTCGAGTGCTCGAAATTGCAGTGTGAGCCTCCGTGCCTGCTACTCTAGTCTTACCAAAGGACAGGCGGCTGTGCCTTGTCCTGTGCGTGGCCAAGGGCTTAGCTTTTGTTTCTTTATAATGTCTGCTGTTGCAGACTTACATTTTTCACACATTTAAGCTTTATCAGTTTTTTAAAATTGTTGTCGAGGCCAGAAGTTGGAATGTTAGCCTTTTATAGATGATGAGCTATCATACGTCCCCCGTGGAGAACGCATGTGACGCCATTCAGTTGTTTATCTGCTCTCTGCAGTGGGCATTTGCTTACACAGTAGGTGGTGCCTGGCCACTAGTAAAGCCCACACCTCCCTACCCTGACATTATTGAAAATATTTTCCTAAACGCTTTTCTATTGCCTCTGTGGGTGTAATACTTGCCTATCCCTTATTCTCAGTGCAGGGTGTTAAAATTCTGTTTTAAAATATGTCCCTATTTACTTTTGTTTTGTGCATGTATGTGAGGGGCAACACATCGCCCGGCATGCCACGTGGGGGTCAGAGGACAGCTTCAGGTGTTGGTCCTTGTCTTCTGCCTGGTAGATGAGGTTCGTGCTAGTCACTATGTGTCCGACTAGCTGTCTGGTGTGCTTCTGGGGACTCTGTCTCTACCCATCTCACCCAGAAGCCTGAGATTATAGATGTACTCACTCCGGCATCTAGTTGTATATGGGTTCTGCACACACATTCAGGCTAGCGAGGAAAATGCTTTACCCATTGAGCCATCGGTCCAGCCCAAGAATTTTATTTAAATATTTGTTTTTAAGATTTTATTTACCTTACAAGCATGAGTGTTTTGCCTCGTATGTCTGTGCTTGCAGAGGTCAAAAGAGGGAGTGGAATTCTCTGGAACTGAAGATGTGGATCACTGTAAACCCTCCAGATGAGTGCTGGGAACCAAACCCAGGTCCCTTGAAAGAGCAGCAAGTCAAACACTCCTAACCACTGAGCCATCTCTACAGTCCTGATTCTAGTTTTGTTTTTTTTATTTGGGGTCCACTGGAAGACCAACAAATGCTTCTAACCACTGAGCAATCCGTCTCCACAATATTATACTGTAAGGGCCTGAGAAATGCTGAGGAAGGCCCCAAACATGAAGAGTATGCAAAAACAAGCAGGCAGCAGTTGTATCAGTGCAGTTTTGATAGGCTAAGGTTTTGGTTTCTTTGGATGGCTTCTCCACTTGATAAAGGGAAGCTAGTTTACACCACACTTGGCCCCATAGGACAAGCAAATCAGAGTGGAAAGGATTCTTTCCCTTGGGAGTTGATAGTCTAGAGGAAGTATGTTGAAGGAGCTGTGGGCTGCATTCTGCCACCCAGCTCCCGGCCACCGGCTAGCTTTACCCGAAATAACAACACACAAATTGTATTCTTTTAAACACTGCTTGGCCCATTTTATCTAGCCTCTTCTTGGCTAACTCTTGCACCTGGACTAGCCCATTTCTAATAATGTGTGTAGCACCCCAAGGTACACTTACCAGGAAGATTCTAGCCTACGTCCATCCTGGGTGGGAGCTTCATCGCGTCTGCTCCAGAGAGTAGAGCTATCGAGTCTGAGCTCACTTCCTCTTCCTCCCAGCATTCTGTTCTGCCTACTCCACTCATCTAAGGGATGGCCTATCAAAATGTGCCAAATGATGGAGGAAGGTCATTGGCTAATAAAGAAACTGCCTTGGTACACAGCATATACAGGTCTGTCTTTAGTCATGGATTTGACATCTTGGATCCCCAACACATCCGCTGGCACTGTGGCCTTCTTAACCTGGCACTTCCACCATAGTCGAACTGAGACCCAGATGAGGGCAGACACAGTTATAACCAGTCTTCCACTCAGACACCAGAAACCTCAACCACTTTCCAGTTTCCCTTTCTTAGCTACGGTCTTTCCAGAAAGTCTCCTCCAATGCTGTCCTCACCCAGCTGGGCTGGCTTCAGACAGCAGCCAGTGACCCCCAGCTGGGCTGGCTTCAGACGGCAGCCAGTGACCCCCAGCTATACTGGCTTCAGACAGCAGCCAGTGACCCCCAGCTGGGCTGGCTCCTAGCCCTGTGGCCTGGCACCCTGTGATAACAATAGAACTCCCTTTCCTCTCTCCTTCCCCTAACCACAACGTCAGTGTTGGTTATAACTTAACCTGTAAACACGCTTCTGATTAGAGGTGGGAGAGGGAAGGGCCTGTCAATGCGGAGGCAGGATGCATATGCAAACCTGTTAGCCGGGAGGAAGTCAGAGGTGCCACCATAGGCCCTGTGAGCCTCCTCAACTTACGTGGGCATCGCAGCAACTGCTGTACTTAGCAAAGATCAGAAGGCTCAGAAGTAGAGCATGCTGGGAGAATGGGGGAGACAGCCAGGATTTGGTGAAATAATCCAGGATGGCACACAGAGAAGCCCTGGGAACCTTCTTGGAGCATGAGCCCAGACCTTCCTGCTAGGCAAAACCAAGCATGAGCCCCCCCCCCCCCAAGGGAGCTTTGGTATTATTTTCAGGTGTGTGACTTTTGTCTATGCTGCAGTTGTTCAACTCTGAGAAGCTGTGTTACTGTTCCTGTCTAGAACACCTGATGGCCTAATAAAGAGACGAATGGCCAACAGCGAGGCAGGAGCAAGGATGGGTGGGGTTGGCAGGCAGAGAGAATATAAATAGAAGGAGCGCTGAGGAAGAGGAAGAACAAAAGAACAAGGGGAGGAAGACATCTGGGGCCAGCTACCCAGCTATACAGCAAGCTGGGAAGAAGGAAGTAAAGAAAGGTTTTCAGAAATAGAAAAAGATAAAAGTCCAGAGGTAAAATGTAGCTGGGTTAATTAAGGTTAAGAAAAACTGGCAAAGCCTACAAGTCACAATCCCAGAGAACCAAGACAACAATGAAGACCCTAAGAGACATACATGGATCTAATCTACATGGAAGCAGGAAAAGACAAGAACTCCTGAGTAAATTGGGAGCATGGGGACCATGAGAGGGTAGAAGGGTGATGTAGGATTCCCCTCTGTATGCTGTGAATAACACTGGTTAATAAAGAACTGTCTAGGGCCTGCACAGGGCAGAATAGAGGTAGACACGGGGCGGGGGGCGGGAGGGAGAACTAAACTGAATGCTGGGAGGAAGAAGACAGAGTCAGGAGAAGCCATGTAGCCCCGCCGGAACTTTACCGTAGGTCACAGCCTCGTGGTGATACACAGATTAATAGAGATGGGTTAGTTTAGGATATGAGTTAGCCAGAAATATGCTTAAGCTATTGGCCAAAGAGTATTGTAGATAATATGGTTTCTGTGCGATTATTTCAGTTCTGGACAGCTGGGAACAAGTAAGTGGCCCTTCTACAACAGAAGGGGAGGGGAGAAGGGAAGAGGAGTGGAGAAAAATATACAGCCCAATAAAAATAATTTTTAAAAAAACTGGTAAGAAACAACCCAAGCTAAGGCCAGGAATTCATAACGAAGAATAAGCCTCCATGTGTAATTTATTTGGATAAATCTAGGGTGTTGGGCCCCTCAAAAACATAAAGAGTCACAGAACAGGGAGCTGATTGCTCCTCTTACTATGCCTTGGTCAGCTGTGTATTCTGAACATTACCATAGTAGGGACTTTACAGCTTCCGTCTTAGCACTCAGAGAGGCTGGGAGTGTGGTGTGGTGTCACTCAAAGGCAGGAAAGAGCAAGCAAAATCATGGTCCTTATGCCAGCAGAGCTTTTGACATGCCTCATGCCTGGTGTGACCAGACCCACTGGGAAAAGGCTGAGTTAGGGTGCAGATGTCCCCAGATCCCAGAGGCCTGCATATTGCTAAGAACACGGAAGACACCTGAATTGGTTGTCCAAGTTTAAGGTGTAGTTTTATTTACAAAGTGAGAGGACGCATTAGGAACAGAGGACACAGGGACAAATGGGTATCTGAGAACCCCATCTTCAGGAAAAGTATATAAATATGTTACAGGACACGGTATACAGTAAACATCGCTAGTTTCTTCTCTATGCCGATATTACTGTCATTAAAAGCTTAAATACTGGCTTCAAGTATCCTCTATAAAATAAATCTACTTTATTAAAATACTGGAAAAATTTCCTATAAACAATATTTGATACATTAAAAATAAACTCATTGTCTTTGTAACAAAGTCCACTATGATCAAATGCTGCCTCCAGCCGGAAGACCTGCCGTGTTAAGTGAGTTTTGATAACCATCAGAGGTTGAAGTGGCTGTAAAACACCACATCCGGGTGGGTTTCTGGCAGGAGCACCCTCCTCTAAGGGTGAGGACTGTGATTGCTTGGCCTGGCTGCTCTGGTCTGAGTGGAGCAGGAGTCAGTTGGAGGCGAGGAGGGAGGGAGGCTGCTCTTGGTCACTGTGGGAGCCATGGCTGTGTCTTCTGCTCTTCAGCCTGAAGATGAGTCAGGACGTGGAGGATGACTTGATAGCAGAAAACGTACTGACCCTGTAGGGGAGGGGGTGGGAAAGGCGGAGATGGAGAGGCTTCATTTGCACAAATTTATACACACTAAGGTTTGAGAAGGTTGGAAACAGAAACTTTGTTTAAACGCGGAGTGTTACGAGTCAGGGCACAGAACTGTATAGTACCATAAAGATTACAAACAACAAGCAAACTGATAAAAAAGAGGATGGAGGGTATCAACGGGCTATGTGCAGGATGACCCTGTATCGCTAACTACCCTAAAAAGTCCTGCTCTCTGTGATTTTGTCTTATTGCTTGAAACTGGGGACCAAAGCCAGGGCTTGGCTCGCTAGGCATGAGCTCCTCTATTGAGTTAGCTCCCCAACCTCTAAAACCTAGATTTTCTAGTCTACTGAACTCACATTCTTGCTTTAAAATGCCAATAAATTATTAGCCAAGACAGGGTCTCACCATGCAGCTCTGGTTGGCCTGGAACTCACTATATAGAGCAAGCTGGTCTCAAAGTCAGAGGCATGGGGCACCAAGCTTGGCGGGTGCTACTTTCTTAATGGTGTCACTCTGTTTAAAATTGTGTCCCTAGACAGCAATGGCTAGCTTCCTTTACCCAGTCTTGGCTAAAGTGCTTGTTACTTTCAGAGCTATGTGATGGCCCGCCACACTCACCACCCGTGTCTGACTCAATGGTGTGCTCTAGGCTCACACCATTGTGTGCTGCTGGTGCACAGATAAGAACACTGCTCATGCCAATCAATGTGTTCTCCTTAGCCCCCGATAGCAGGACTAGAAATCAGTTGTTGGGCTTCAACCTGAGTCCAAACTGTCCACGACTAGAAAGGCAGGCAAGCTACAGACAGTGCTCATGTTTTTAAGAGGCAGACAAATGTGACTCTGCGGTCATGTAAAAACCATTTCTGTGTTTTAAATCTACCACACAGTCTCCATATAGAAGAAAGGGAGGGTGAAGGGACCCAGCAATGTTAGGCTCAAGGTTAGAATAGTGTACTCTCTGTACTGGGAGGGATCAGCTGGGAGTCACTGTGTGATTCCATCCACGGTCAGTTTCAGGTCAGAAAAATCAACACAAGACTAACAGCCTGAGGGAGCCGCCTGGCCAGCACCCTGCAGAGTCATCTTCAGTGCTGCAGCAGCTCTGCCTGTCCACTCCCTCCGTGGGCTCCAGCAGAGGGCAGCTCTGCCTGTCCACTCCCTCCGTGGGCTCCAGCAGAGGGCAGCTCTGCCTGTCCACTCCCTCCGTGGGCTTCAGCAGAGGGCAGCAGCTCTGCCTGTCCACTCCTTCCATGGGCTTCAGCAGAGGGCAGTAGCTCTGCCTGTCCACTTCCTCCGTGGGCTCCAGCAGAGGG